GAGGGAGGGGAACCTGGATAGTGGTTGTAGAGAGGGAGGGGAAGCTGGATAGAAATGGGAGAGGGATTGTGGAGCTGCTGTGAAGGGTAATATGTGGGTGGTGTACCAGGGGTGGGGTAGTGTGGATGGTACACCTTCCCTCTCTTTGTATACTAAATAAACCTTATGCTTGTCCCATCTGTGTTCGCTCTCCACAGGTCTCCTGGGTCCTGGGTCTCCTAGGCCCTATCATTTCTGATAGCAACCTGTCGGTATTGTATACCATTTTGATGTTCATACCTAACAACCTGTCGGTATTGTATACCATTTTGATGTTCAATAGAGTTGTGGATGAGTGGAACAAACTCCTGAGTACAGTTATTGAGGCTAAAACGTTGTGTAGTTTTAAAAATAGGTTAGATAAATACATGAGTGGGTGTGGGTGGGTGTGAGTTGGACCTGACTAGCTTGTGCTGCTGGGTCTGGTGCAGTGCTCCATCCTTGAGTGGAGATGATCAGACTGGGTGGGTCATTGGGCTAATCGGGGGGGGGGGGTCATTGGTCTAATCTGGGGGGGTACATAGACCTGCTCCGCATGGATCAGTAGGCCTGTTGCAGTGTTCCTTCTTTCTTATGTTCTTATGTTCTCAGTAAAATACCCAAGCGTTGCACATGTGTCTAATTTATCAACTTGTCGGCTCTCTGAACCATTTATATACATGTATGTAAGATTATAAATGAGATTTTATTGAAGTACGCATCGTCCAGTATGCATTTGCTGCAGAGGTTAGTACTTTGGTGTGTTCCTTAGGCGATTTTATTTTGTATAAAGTTCGCCCTTAGGTTCTCCTTGACTAATATTTCACACCGGGTTGTCAGAGTATGAATCGCAGTTATCGGGAAGGAGGATCGAGTATCCACAATTTTGAAATCCCAGAACAGGGATACGCAGCATTGGAAATCATTTGACATGTATCACACGCATACATAAAACGCGAAATGACATTTATTACAAAAATAACAGACACAATTCCGTGACTGGAACAATACACAAACAACCCGCACATAGGAGAGAAGAACTTAAGATGACGTTTCGGTCCGACGTGGACCATTTATTGCACTTGTCTACTTTGATTATCAAATGGTATACAATACCGACAGGTTGGTAGATAAGACACATAAGCCTAAATGTTGCTTATGTGTCTTGTCTACCAACTTGTCTACTTTGCTGTCTAATATTTGGCCCATTCTCTTGGGCAGAATATTATCAAACACCTTCGTGCAGCTCGTTCTTTCTCGTTCCTGCTTCGTTTATCCTACCTAATCATTGAACTCGGTAGGTGTATGAAACACGAGATACCGTATATAAACCCATTATCTCCAGATGCACCACTTGCTTCTAATCTTCCTCATTACTTCAGAGTTCGCATTTCGACGATACTGACTTGTAGGTTAACCTACAATTGGGTAGGTCAAATGTTTGTTAGTGGGATGAATTGTAAAGGACCTGCCTAGTATGGGCCAGCAGGCCTGCTGCAGTGTTCCTCCTTTCTTATGTTCTTATGTACCCGGCTAATTCGTTTCTTAAATGTGAAGGTTTCTTTCCCTGCCTTCCACATGTTTCCGTGTGTACCAGCCGAATTGTGGGTGTAGGAAATGTTTAATATCTCAGTATATAGTACAGTGGAATGGTGTGGCTTCTAACCTCATGGTCTCCATAAATGCTTTTCAAACTGTGTATATAATTTTATTGCACCACATGAGTGGGTGTGGGTGGGTGTGAGTTGGACCTGACTAGCTTGTGCTACTAGGTCTGATGCCGTGCATCTTCCTTAAGTGGAAGTGACCTGACTAGGTGGGTTATTGGTCTAAGCCGGGGGGTGACATGGACCTGCTTCGCATGGGTCAGTAGTCCTGCTGCAGTGTTCCTTCTTTCTTATATTCTCGCGTCTTGTAATTCATTCCACGTTTTTCTAGCCATAAGACTGAAGAACTATATCTTATTTAACTTTCTCGGGGCCTCATCTTCATTTTTAGCTTCCGTCTGTTGTTTCCTTGCCCTTGTTCCTCTAGTGTCAAGCTCTCCTCCTCCTCCGCTCTGGCAATGCAACCTAGCATCTTTTATGTCATGGTCATGTCTCCTCTGATTCTTCTCTCCTTCAAGGAAATTAGGTTCAGTTCTTTTAGCATCTCTTCGTAGTGATTCACCTTTAGTTCTGGAACTAGTTTGGTTCCAGATCACGGAATTTTCAGTAGCTTCTGGACCTGCTCATGCTCAAACATGGGGCCAACACATGTACAGCATTTAATAATAAAACATTTGGTTTAAGGTTCGTGGAAGCAACTCTTAAGTCTGTCAGCTTTTTATATGGCGCAAATGTAATGTTAAAGAGTAATATTCTTCCTTCTAACAGGTTAATGTGTGCCTCTAGCTAGAGGGTTAATGTAATATTTACTTTTAACTCTGCTTTCCTGTATATGAGGTTTGTTTCTTTTAAAATTTATGCTCTGCTACAGGTCTGCTGTCGTGCACTATAATTCTCAAGACGTTGCACTTGATTCACTTGACCTTCCTATTCCAGCCAGCGATTTCATCGACCTTGTTGAACTATGTGTTGGCTTTACGTGTTTCTCTTTCGAAAATCACCTCTTTCAGCAGACATTTGGACTACCCATGGGCTCGCCACTCAGTGCGGTCCTGGCGAACCTATACATGGAATATCTAGAAGCCGAACGTTTCTCCACCATTATTCCTTCGTCTGTCACCTGGCTCTGTTATGTTGACGACATTCTCCTCATAACTCCTAGACGCTTCAACGTTCAAGCTCTCCAAGACAAGCTCAACCAGGTCGAGCCTTCAATCCAGTTCACACTTGAAGAAGTCGACAACACTCTTCCTTTCCTTGATGTTCTTCTCTGCAAAGCTGACCACGAACTTCGTTTTAAAGTCTATCGAAAACCCACCAACCAAAACGATCTTCTCCACTTCTACTCTCACCACGACACCAAAACTAAACGTGGTGTAATTATAGGCTTCTTCCTGCGTGCACTCAGAATCTGCAGCAATGAGTTTCTTGAAGAATGCACTATAATTGAACAAGTATTTTCTAAACTCCACTATCCTCGTCACTTCATCAGAGACTGCAGACGACGCACATTAGACATCTTCAACACACCCAGAGAAGACACTGCCGAGAAGAGATACATAGTCCTCCCCACCAACTCCATTGACAAACATGTTTCCAACACCTTTTCCAATACCTCATTCCAAGTATCTACCTCCACAACCACGACCATCAAGGACATTACCAGTGATAGGACAAGCTTCCACCCTCTGCAGGGGTATACATAATCCCTTGTAATGACTGCAACAAATTATACGTGGGCGAAACATCAAGGGACCTCCAAACACGTATTTCAGAACACCAATACGCAAGCAGGTCTGACGATACAAGGAATGCCCGTGTACAACACCGTAATTCACACAACCACTTGATAAACTACAGAAACTCAAGACTTATCGCCACAAGACAACACTCAATACCGAAGAATCCTGGAATCATCACTTATTTCTATATCCGACAACTTCAACCAGAATAGTGGCTTCTATAACATAGCTGAACCACTTGCCAAGAAACTTTTCCATCGCTATCCCACATAAGAACATAGGAATGGAAGAACACTGTAGAAGGTCTGCTCACAAACTTATCCAATCTCCTTTCCAAGCTACCCAAGATTTTAGACTCTATAACCCCACTCGGTACATCATCACATGCAGCATTCTCCACCTGACCTCAGCATTCTGAACCTGACTATAAATACTCGCGTCCCTTCCACCCCAGGTAGATCTGTTTGTGACTTGAAAAAGCCCACTGTGTGGACGAAACGTTGTCAATGAAGGATCACATTATACTGCATATATGTTTATATTTCCATGCGTTTATATTTCCACGTTGCACTTGCTGAGGCTGGATCTCTATAGTTGCCTGATGGACACGTGTGTGTGTGTGTGTGTGTGTGTGTGTGTGTGTGTGTGTGTGTGTGTGTGTGTGTGTGTGTGAACAAGCAGATGTTTGTGATCACCTGGGAGGTACAAGAGCTTGAGCTCCCCCATGCATGAGGTAGTCTGACCATTGCACTCACTGAGCAGTTAACCTTTAAGTTAATAGCCACAGCTGCAACAGCTGTAATGACCACAACACTAATCCACACACCACCTCCACCATTATCAACGCCGCCGCCACAGCCACTACAACCACAGTCAACACCACTACAACCACAGTCAACACCACTACAACCACAGTCAACACCACTACAACCACAGTCAACACCACTACAACCACAGTCAACACCACTACAACAACCACAGTCAACACCACTACAGCCACAGTCAACACCACTACAACCACAGTCAACACCACTACACACACCACAGTCAACACCACTACAACCACAGTCAACACCACTACAGCCACAGTCAACACCACTACAACCACAGTCAACACCACTACAACCACAGTCAACACACTACAACAACAGTCAACACCACTACAACCTTAGTCAACACCACTACAACCACAATCAACATAACCATTACAATTACAACTACCACACTATACTACCACTGCTGTATTCTTCACTATCAACATAATCATGACCACTACCACCACTACTCCACCAGTACAACCACTTCCAGCATCACTACTCCACCAGTACCACAACCATATTCACTAATACCACTACCACCACAGTCAACATTCCTGCTAAAACCACTGCTACCACTACTCATCACACAATCAACAGCACAACTATACACCCACCACCACTATCACTTAAATCACCCCTACCATCATTGTCACCAGCACTACTAACACATTACTGGAACCAAATCTACCAGCACCATTACCCCCATGATCCCGTGACTGACCCCCCATGATCTAGTGACTGACCCCCATGATCCAGTGACTGACCCCTTCCCCAAGATCTAGTGACTAACAACCCTATTCTTCCGTACTTTTCAGGTCGTCCGCCCCCAGAGGTAACCTGGTGGAAGGGTACGACCCTCTTGTCCAATCGTAGCGTGAGCGTGGGTGAGGACGGTACACTGCTGGCATCACACGAGGAGGGTGACGATGTGGTACACACTGTGGGCGTAGGCGTGGGCGTGCGCTATGTCAGGACCGCCCTCATCATCCCCGCCCTCACTAGGGACTACGCCCACGCTAACATCACCTGTCGCGCCTCTAACAACAATATTACGGAGCCCATGTCCACCACGCTCTACCTGGAGCTATATAGTGAGTGCTTACTGTTATCTTGCTCTACCTGGAGCTCTATAAGGAATGTTTACTGTGTTATCTTGCTCTATCTGGAACTATATATAGTGCAGTGCCTGCACTCTGACGGATGGGTGGGGATACTGCAGTTCTGAAGATGGGTAGTACAGTGCCTGCACTCTGACGGATGGGTGGGGATACTGCAGTTCTGAAGATGGGTAGTACAGTGCCTGCACTCTGACGGATGGGTGGGGATACTGCAGTTCTGAAGATGGGTAGTACAGTGCCTGCACTCTGACGGATGGGTGGGGATACTGCAGTTCTGAAGATGGGTAGTACAGTGCCTGCACTCTGACGGATGGGTGGGGATACTGCAGTTCTGAAGATGGGTAGTACAGTGCCTGCACTCTGACGGATGGGTGGGCATACTGCAGTTCTGAAGATGGGTAGTACAGTGTCTGCGCTCTGACGGATGGGTGGAGATACTGCAGTTCTGGAGGTGGGTAGTACAGTGCCTGCACACTGACGGATGGGTGGGGATACTGCAGTTCTGAAGATGAGTAGTACAGTGTCTGCATTCTGAAGGATGGGTGGGCATACTGCAGTTCTGAAGATGGGTAGTACAGTGTCTGCGCTCTGACGGATGGGTGGAGATACTGCAGTTCTGGAGGTGGGTAGTACAGTGTCTGCACTCTGACGGATGGGTGGGGATACTGCAGTTCTGGAGGTGGGTAGTACAGTGTCTGCACTCTGACGGATGGGTGGGGATACTGCAGTTCTGGAGGTGGGTAGTACAGTGTCTGCACTCTGACGGATGGGTGGGGATACTGCAGTTCTGGAGGTGGGTAGTACAGTGTCTGCACTCTGACGGATGGGTGGGGATACTGCAGTTCTGGAGGTGGGTAGTACAGTGTCTGCACTCTGACGGATGGTGGGGATACTGCAGTTCTGGAGGTGGGTAGTACAGTGTCTGCACTCTGACGGATGGGTGGGGATACTGCAGTTCTGAAGATGGGTAGTACAGTGTCTGCACTCTGAAGAATGGGTGGGAATGTTTTGGTTTGGAGGGTCTTTTGAATTGTGATGTCTGGGCACTTCTCCCAAGACAGCTGTTGACTAAATGGTGGTGATGTGTGTCCCACTGTGTGTCACTGCTGGAGTACTCAGTGACGAGGAAGAGAATACACAGCAAATTAATGACAACCAACTTTGTGTGACAGCTGCGGCTGTTGCGAGAAAGAGGAGTTTCCACCTCCTGTTATAACTCTTCCTTCATTTGCACCTCGTGTAACTGTTCCTTCATTTGCACCTCGTGTAACTGTTCCTTCATTTGCACCTCGTGTAACTGTTCCTTCATTTGCACCTCGTGTAACTGTTCCTTCATTTGCACCTCGTGTAACTGTTCCTTCATTTGCACCTCGTGTAACTGTTCCTTCATTTGCACCTCGTGTAACTGTTCCTTCATTTGCACCTCGTGTAACTGTTCCTTCATTTGCACCTCGTGTAACTGTTCCTTCATTTGCACCTCGAGTAACTGTTCCTTCATTTGCACCTCGTGTAACTGTACCTTAATTATACCCCCGCCTGTTCCTCCCACATGTAACATTCTCTGTTATATACACGTGTATACTCACACAGGTCTGTTTAGTGTTTCGTAAGAACATACCTGCGTAGTATATAAATTGAGAGAAGTATATCAATGTATAAACACAATATATTTTTGTCCCTATTTTAGGGATAAACGTATCTCTGATGATAGGTTCAGGTTGAACTGCGACCTTAATGACCTTTTTGTTTTTTGTCAGGGGGCGAGACGATGTTGCGGGTCAAAATGAAACTGTTTGTCGTATACATTTAAATGTACATTTGTCGTGTATTGCTATTGAATGAATGATGGTGATTGTGTTTCCTCTTTGGGAAAAGGGGGGGGGGAGACGGCTGGTGTGATTAAAAAAATATATTTTAAAAAGTCATACGAGGCAGATTCTTCCCTCTTCAGCCACTAGATGGATTTATAGCAGTGCATACACTTGGTGAGAGGAAACAGAGTGTAGTGTCATAGCTACACATCCAATGAGAGACGACAGTGCAGTGTCACCCCTACACACCCAATGAGAGGCAACAGAGTGCAGTGTCACCCCTACACATACATTCAGAAACGGTATTGGGGCTTCCTCTTAAACATGACATGACGCCACTGATAATAAGTGATTAATATTATTCAACTGCTTCCATAGACAATCTAACCTGACTTCAATAACATATGTTGAGATATTTACTTAGAAAGTACGTAGGGATTCAGAGTTGGCGTTAACATGACACCGAAAACTAACGACTAAGAAACTATGTACTGTATTGGTAAGGAAATGTGCTTAGGTGTCTTTTTAAACCAAGGAAATGTCTACCACATTGGAAACACTTTTCACTGGTTACTTGAGAGCAATATACCTGTATCATTGGGTGGTGCCTGGCCTCAGCATTACTGATCTGGTGTCCAGTGATACTTGGTGATACTGGCTAGTGATGGTGATGCCTTTTCAGGTGAAAAATTAGACACATGTGCAACATCTGGGTATATTTGTAGACGTTTCGCCATTCAGTGGCTTTATCAGTGCAAGGACATAATGCGAAGAATGTAGAGCTATATACAGAAGATGAGGTAATCAGTCCCTCAGCCTTGGAGTTGTAGAACACCGTGGTGTTGAAGAATCTGAAGCACAGGCAGGAAGATTGACGCTTATGTATTGGTTACTCCTGATGTATCTGTGTGTTGTAGATGACGCTTCTGTTCTTCATTTTGTCTGATGTTGACGCATTTGTGTTGTGGATGACGCTTCTGTTCTTCATTTTGTCTGATTTTGACGCATTTGTGTTGTGGATGACGCTTCGGTTCTTCATTTTGTCTGATGTTGACGCATTTGTGTTGTGGATGACGCTTCGGTTCTTCATTTTGTCTGACGGATTGAAGCTGAGGTGTTGTAGCTGATGCTGCTCTAGTTGTTCTTCTTGCCTGGTGGTGTGAAGCTGAAGTGTTGTGGCTGCTGCCTCTTTCTCTCTCTCTCTCTCTCTCCTTTTCCTTTTGTCTGATGGTATGCAGCTGGAATCAAATATATCCCGTCCCACGCCTTCAGTCTCATAAATGATCCGCTTTGTGCCAGAATCCTGGATTTTCCTTGGGAGTGGATCAGCTGCGTATTTCTAATTATATTTAATAATATCAAGGGAATTTTATTGAGGACTTCATTGCAGTTTTCGTTGCACGTTATTTTGTCGGGAACTGATTCTCAGTTTTATCATTTGAGAGTAAACGATGTTTAGCCTAAGCAAAGCTTTATAAAGCTTTGTTTTCGAGACGTACTTTACAAATAGTTTTGCTCAGCACTGTGTGTGTGTGTGTGTGTGTGTGTGTGTACCGTAAGGTCGTCAATTACCTCCAGACTCTAGGAAAATAATCCTCCGAAATTGAGACGCTAACAGTAGGTTACCCTCCTCCTGAGGACTCTCCCCATCCTCGAATCAAACTCGATTCCCTCCCCCTCCATCCACCCATCACCAGGCACCGTATAATCCTTACGGATTTAACGTTTCCCAGTGACTATAATAACTAGCCTGAAGAATATACCATAGGCATATCAGGAGAAAAATGTGGAAATTTAAGAGGGCAAGAATATTCAGAAATTGTTTACAAAGAGTTGAACCTGACGTTAATGTGAGACAGAAGCGAGAAAGAAGCAAAAATATTTATTTCGTGTTGTAATGAAGAGGGGAGTCTTGGAGTAGTGCAGACAGATTCCATTTGTAGATGCAGTCGTAAAAGCAAATACACTACTCGTGGGGTTTAGAAATTCATTACGCCAGTTGGCTTACGGTTTAAGCTCATGGTTCAGGAGCTGAAGCTTAACATTTCTCGCACACAATAAACCAAGACGATAGTTTATTGGTTTCAGGTCCTGATATTATTGATCTACTGAGCCAGCAGCTGAAAGCTGATATGCTGGTCTCTTCCTGCAAATTGCATTCCAACGTAAGAACGATTTTAATTATTTTTTCTTTAGTATTTCATATACGAGATGCTTAAAAAACTTCTGAATATTTTAAGTTTTATTGGCCTGTTCTGGCGATGAGCTTCAGCTGCTGCAATCACTGCCTTATCCTAATAGGATCCTCTTTGGGTTTTAAGCTTGTCGACTATACGAGGGTCAGGACAAAATACCTCGTGTATATAGAATGAGAGACAAACATCTTAGTGTATTTAACCTTGCGACTAGATAAGAAAATTTCAAAAAATAACAATGCAGTGATCATACCGGTATACACCTATGATCCAGTCATACAACACACTGATCGTACAGCACTGATCGTACAACACTGATCGTACAGCACTGATCGTACAGCACTGATCGTACAGCACTGATCGTACAGCACTGATCGTACAGCACTGATCGTACAGCACTGATCGGACAACACTGATCGGACAACACTGATCGGACAACACTGATCGGACAACACTGATCGGACAACACTGATCGGACAACACTGATCGGACAACACTGATCGGACAACACTGATCGGACAACACTGATCGTACAACACTGATCGTACAACACTGATCGTACAGCACTGATCGTACAGCACTGATCGTACAACACTGATCGTACAACACTGCAAGTGCTACGCTTGTTAGCTTGAGCTCTGCTGGAATATCTTAGGTGTTATCAGCTCTTTCAGCAGATTATCCAAATCTTTACATTGGCATAGGAAAATAAATAGCTGAACTTTGAATAACTAGAATTAATTAGATAATTAGTTTGACCTGACCACGATGAACAGTACTGACACTGCCTGACCACGATGAACAGTACTGACACTGCCTGACCACGATGAACAGTACTGACACTGCCTGACCACGATGAACAGTACTGACACTGCCTGACCACGATGAACAGTACTGACACTGCCTGACCACGATGAACAGTACTGACACTGCCTGACCACGATGAACAGTACTGACACTGCCTGAC